AACTCTGGAGGAAATATAAAATTTGAATAGCACCTATTAAAGAAAGTATATTCCTAGCTTGAAAACCTACCTATATGCAATCAACAGGCTCATATACATTTTAACTGAAAAATTATATCAAACATTTAAAGCAGAAAAAAGAAGGAACACTTGTTCCCTCATATTAGGGAATCAACATTGTGCTAATCCTAAAACTGGATTAAGATAATGGAAGAAAATATATCAACATAGATAGAAATTTATGTAAGAAAACAAACTATTAGAAGTCATATCTGGCCATATGTAGAAAGTGGTTTTATTATAGGGATGGTAGTGTTGGTTCAGTGTTGGAAGATCCACCCCCACAAGTCATCATTTTAACAGAGGAAAGGAAAAAGCCATATGATCCTGTCACTAGTTGGATCAAAAGTATTGGACTATATTCTACAGCTGTTCATGGTAAAAGCTATCAGTAGATTAGAAGTAGAAAAGAAACTTCTCAACAGATCAAAGACATGTACTCCATACTTCCAGCGAGAACACCTTTTATGAATGGAGAAGATACAATGCTTTCTCCCTAAGGTGGGGAACAAGGGCAGGTATGCCTACTCATCTGACCATTAAACTTTGAAACATAGGCCTAAACCAAAATAGACTGGCAATAAAAATGACACAATTAGGAGAGGAGTGGCAAGGTAGAAGGAAATTCTTTATATGTAGATGAAATTATCATCTACAGAGAAAATATTAAGAAAACTCTAGGAGCCCCTAGAACTTGTATTTGAATTTTGTAGGATTAGAAAACACATGGTATATATAAAAACTCAGGTCTATGTATACTTGCTATAAATAAAGAATTGGATATTGAAATTTAAAATTATGTAGGAAAAAATAAAAGGTATGTAGGATAATAAAGACCTAGAAAACTAAAAAGAAAAAGAAAAAGTGCTGTAAGACATTATGTACCTATATTTTATGACTCCCTTTAATGCTACAATAATCAAGGCAGTATTGGTGTAAGGAAAGACATATAGCTCATTGGAATAAAACAGAGAAGCTACAAATAGAACCACACATGTATGGTCCACTGAGTTTTGAAAGATTATTAAACATTAACATTTTATAGAATATAAATTCAATTCAAGAGCCGAGGAAAAACAGTGTTTTCAGCAAATGGAACTAGAACACCTGGTATCCATATATAGAAAATTAACCTTAACCATGTATTTCCATACATAAAAATAACTTGAAAGGACCTATGAACCTAAATATGAAAGATTAAATCCATAAAACTTTAGGAAGCAATTATAAGGGAAAATGTTTATGAATTTAGGGTAGGCAAGAACTACCTAGGATACAAAAAACATGATATATAATAGCAAAAAATTGATAAATGAGATTCCATCAAAATTTAGAACTTTAAATGACATGGTTAAAATGAAAACTAGTCCTTAAACAGACCATTTTCACAATGCATATAACTTATGACCAGAATATATAAAGAACTCTTACAGCTCATTCATAAACAACCCAATTAAAAAGTAGACAGAATGAGATGATAAATAGCCAGTACAGCACAAGGAAAATGTGCAACATTAGAATCAGAAAAATACTAATCAGTACAATAACAAGATTGAATTATACACTCATTAGGGAGATGAAGTTACAACTTTTAAAAGCTTTGTTGTGACATTTACTTTTTGTGGGATTCTCCCCTTTTGCACTTAATTTATCATGTCCAATAGATTCATTCTGCTGGGCTTCCTGGCATTGGGATCCTCATTGTCTTTTCCTAGGATGTTGTCTAATTGTTTTGGAGTCCTGGTTTGGTATTCATGAAGTTCCTAAGGTGCTTTTTATCATGAAAGTATCTTATTTCTCCATCAGTTTTCAAAGATAGTTTTGCAGGGCACATCAATCTGGGTTGGAGACTGTTTTCCTTTAGGGCTTGAAATACATCACTTCAAGCTCTTCTTGCCTTGAGGGTCTGCATTGAGAAGTCTGCTGTGAATCTGATGATCTTTCCTTTGTATGTAATTTCTTTCTTTTCTCTCACTGCTTGTAGAATTTTGCTCTTCTGTTGAGTTTCTGGAATCCTATTATATGCCTATGTGTAGATTTTCTTTGATCAAGGCTAGTTGGAGTCCTGTATGCCTCACTTATCTGTATGTCAAGTTCTTTTCCCCTGCTTGGGAACTTTTCTGACATTACTTCTGTCAACATTTTTTATGTCATCTTCACTCTCTCCTGTTTCTTCATTGATTCCAATCAGTTTAATGTCATGCTTCTTTGGATCATCTAGCAGCTGCTGGATTGCTTTCTCATGGTCCCTTACAATTTTGAAGCAATTTTTCTTTCCTGATCACTAATTACAATCTTATCTTCTATATCTGAAATTCTGTCATCACATTGGCTCATTCTTCTGTGTAGATTTTCAATGGAGTTTTTGATCTCCTGGAAATCTGTTTGTATCTGTTGTATGGATTCCATTTGTTTCCTATGTTGGGATTCCATCCTGTTCCTCAGGTCCGCTAGATGTATTAATCATGTCTATCATTATGAGCACAATTTCTGCTGTTATCTGATAGATTTCTGATTTCATTTTTTCCAGATCCTCTTTTGTTGCCAGTTCAGTGAGTCCAGATGGTTGAGTATCAGAGTGTTCCATCTCTTTCCCCTTTGAGGTTGCTGTAGGTGATCTGGAAGTTTGATTTTGAGACTGTTTACAAGTCTTCTCATTTCAACTCTAGGTGGCTGCGGGGAGTGCTGTTGGTGCCAGCCTGGCTCACCTCCTGTAGGCCAGGAGAGATGAGATGGATGACAACCCAGAAGCCCCTTCATATGGGGCATGAGAAGTGGGACAGATTGCAGCTCGGAAGCCCCTGGGCTGGGATAATACTGCATTATATTTTTTAAGAAACCACATTTTTTTTCCAGTCTCCAGCTGATGGGCACTTGCGCTAGAACAAGTTTTACCTATTACAAATTGGGCTTTAATGAACATGGATGCACATATATCACTGTGATATGATTCTTTTAATTCTTTGGGAAGATACCCAGCAAGGGAATAACTGGGCCAATGGGGCTTCCAATCGTAGCTCTCTGAGGTACCTCCATGCTGATTTCCACAGTTGTTGCACCTGTGTGCATTCCCAATAATGGAGAAGGGCTCCTTTCTCCACAGAACCCCACCAGCATTTGTTATTGGTTAATTTCTTGATAGGAGCCATACTTCCTGTGGTGTGGTGGAATCTCATGGTTGTTTTGATTTGCATCTCTCAAATGACCAGTGATGTTGAACATTTTTTCATATATTTATTTGC